ATTTGAGTTAATCAGTTTCCTCAAATCATTTGAGTTGACATCAGTTTTCACAGTGTACTGTGCGCTTTGTTTTTGTCCATAATCGCTGCTGTCAGAAGAAAACCTTGTATCTCCATTTTTGGCATTTTTCAGTTTTTGACATATTTTGAAAATACCTGTTGCCTTTTACATTGTATGTAAATTTCATGATGAATAGACTAAAATAAACGGCCCAAAATGACTTGGAAGAAAGTCTGGTTCCATTGACTTACATTAAAAGTAGAGTATGTTTTTCCCTTCTCCTGTAAAGTTACCATTTTGGAGATACGAGGTTTTCTTCTGACAACAGCGAAATACTTTATGGCTGTATAATCGTTCCTCAGTTGCTCTGCTCACATGGACCCTCTGCGTCTCCTTGGAAGCAAATGTACCTGTAGATGTGCCTGTAACTGTTATTAAGTGTCTTAATACAAATACAATTAAAAAAAAAAAAAGAAATTCGGATGACTGAAGAGATGATTTAGTCATCTTTGGACCTCCCATCACAGGTGAAGTCTGGAAGGCCAGGTGTTCTCTGTCAGGTGAAGGCAGGCCTGGACATGCCCTCATTGTCTTTCTCAGAGACGCAGCGTGTCCCGCCGCTGATTAGAAACAGAGCTGAGCTGGTTTAATCAGACTGGCTCTTTGAAGCCCCGACTGGACCGAGAGCTTGTTTGGATCGCGCATCCAAACACAACAAACCGCCAAAACGTTTTTGTGTCTCTTGGGCTGCTTTTCGAGCTGACATGGAGGAGCTGTTTTTGGGGAAAGAACCTTGACCCGGTCTGTCAGATATGATATATGGAATAATCAATCTACTTTAACACTTAAAAGCCAGCTGGTGTAATTTTATATCAAATGTTTCCAAACTGCACCTCATTGAAACAACACTTTTGGGGGGTTTGTTGTGTTTTGCTGGTTTATTTGACTATTTGATGGTTTTTACTTGTGTTTCATTGGTCTGTTTAATGGTTTTTGGTCAGTTAGCTGGTCTGTTTCATTGTTTTTTGGGCAATTAGCTGGTCTGTTTGATGTTTTTTGGTCAGTTACTTGTGTTTCATTGGTCTGTTTGATGGTTTTTGGTCAGTGACTTGTGTTCCATTGGTCTGTTTGATGGTTTCTGGGCAGTTATCTGGCCTGTTTGATGGTTTTTGGCCAGTTAGCTGGTCTGTTTGATGTTTTTTGGGCAATTAGCTGGTCTGTTTGATGTTTTTTGGTCAGTTACTTGTGTTTCATTGGTCTGTTTGATGGTTTTTGGTCAGTGACTTGTGTTCCATTGGTCTGTTGGCTGGTATTTTGGTCATTAGCTGGTCTGTTTGATGGTTTTTGGTCAGTTACTTGCGTTCCATTGGTCTGTTTGATGGTTTTTGATCTGTGTACTGGTCTGTTTGATGATTTTTGGTCAGTTAGATGGTCTGGTCAGTTACCTGACTTGTTTGGTGTTTTTTTTGCCAGTTAGCTGATTTGTTTTGGTAGTTTTTGATCAGTTAGCTGGTCTAGCTGGAGCTTTTTATCAGTCTGTTTCATGGTTTTGGATCAGTTGTGTTCCACTGGCCTGTTTGATGGATTTTGGTCAGTTATGCACTTGCTTACATGTCCTGTCACAACACTGGAAGAGGAAGTGACCTGTACGGTTGACCTGGCCGCTGTAGGACAGAAAGACATTTCCCAGCACACACACACACACACACACACACACACACACACACACACAGATAATCACCACTTGGCTTCGGATAAACCTTCTGGTTTAATTATAAAACCCAAAGTTAATGAAAATATTGTATAAAGAAATTTAATTCTCACAAAATATTTGCAACTATTTTCAGACACATCTAACATTTCATCATCCACTTAACGGGCAGTGTTAATAAGAACGGTGGAACGTGAAGATTAACTTTATTTGTTTCAAATTAAATGTACAGAACAGGTTTTCATTAATGTGAATTCTAGAGTAATGTAGTTTTAACCTTGCGTAACTGTACCTGAGCAGATATTTTCACATGCAATAATATATAATAATATTTAATAATACTCTAAGATGAATGTAGGAGCTTTAATGAGGCCTAGGCTGTGCTTGAAAGGCTCCAGCTCACAACAGCATCATATAATGATGAATGATGTGTGACCGGATGATCGTCCATGAGAATCAGCCGTGTTTACTTTGGTCTCTACAGCGTGTTTTATCTCACCGATGCGCTGTTTGGTGGTTGAACCTACAGAGGGAGCTGTAAGCCTGGAGGAGCTGCCGTGCTCTGAAAGACCAGTCCTGCATTACATCAGTCCAGAGCAGTATAATAAAGACACACCAGGCCAGTTTAGGATAAGGATTCATCCACATTCATTGTAGGAGAGGGACAAAATGGTCTAATGTAGATTTGTGAAGTATAATAATGTTTTTTAGTGATATATTTTCAATAATTCCTTAATTATTGCCATGAACTGGTTTCATTTAGCACAAGTAGGTATTTTTCCAAATAATTGCTGACTAAAATGTGGATCCATAAAAGTTCCTCAGGTTGGACTGAAGCCTGTTCTTCATACCAGAGTGAGGACTCATTCCCTCAGAGCTGGTGGAGTTCTCTCAGGTGATGGTTATCCACCTGCTGCATCATTAGGGTGAAGTCTTATTAAGCAATCCGGCTAATATAACATGCTGGGACACATCACGAGACACACTGAACATTCACATGGAGAGTTAACTGTTGGGAATATTTCAAAAAGATCAATAATGAATCACTTTCTTATTAGTTCTGTTAAAACTCATATGTTCATAAATCATAAAACGTTTGCCTCTGTTGAAGTGTCTGAAGAAGCTGGTTTCAGCCTCATAGTCGCTGCGCTGTTGGATCCTGAACGTTCTACTGCATTTCTATAAGTTACTATCCATCCATCCATCATCTAAACCGCTTATCCTTCTGGGTCGCGGTGGGGTGCTGGAGCCTATCCCAGCTGTCATTGGGCGGAAGGCAGGATACACCCTGAACGGGTCGCCAGTCCATCGCAGGGCAGACAGACATACACACACACACTCACACCTAGGGGCAATTTAGCACGTCCAGTTGGCCTGACTGCATGTTTTTGGACTGTGGGAGGAAACCGGAGTACCCGGAGGAAACCCACACAGACACGGGGAGAACAGGCAAACTCCACACAAAAATGACCCTGGTCACCCGGCCGGTAATCGAACCCAGGCCCTTCTTGCTGTGAGACGACAGCGCCCTATAAGTTACTATTAGTTACTCAATTAATTAAGTCATAATTTAAGCTGCTTCTTTTGTACCACTTATGGTGGGTTTACTCATCTCTGGGTAGATCAGACTGTTAAATAATTTCAGCCTGACTGTGACTGTGAATTAGGAAAGGCCACGTGATTCATTTTCACTGTTTCCTTTCTTTTGTTGTCTTTTATCCGCATGGATGAAGAAGTTGCCAAAACCGCTGAGTGAACGTCATGAGGGTAGGAGTGCATTTCACTCTCACGGCTTCTGTTTCCCATGACTGAAGTGCCGCTCCTGACATTCACTAACGAATCTTTATGAAAATGAATCGTGTGTCGAATGAACTGAATCACTGATGTAAATGGTTGGCTCCTCCCACCTCAGTAGATCAAAGGAGCCAATCACAAAAGTGTATCAGCAGCACATTCATAGTAATAATACCGTGCTTGCAAAGGTGAGCACTGATTCATTATCTGTATCCTTTTATCTCTCCTGTTTATCGTACAGACTCTGTTCAAACAGTTTTGTAGATCATTGGAGCGGGAGGTGCGCCGTCATCTCATTTTTAAAATATTATAACTTTTCCCATAGATTTTATTCCAGTTTTTAAGTACTATACTTTAGTAAGCTGGTACACTCTTAGCTTTAAGTAAAATTAATCTACACATTTTTTGTATTAAATACATTTTTCACTCCAGAAGTGGAGTTTCTTCTGTTTTTGCTTCCTAAATTTAAAGCTGTTGGGCCAAAGACTGCCCAAATATCAAGACCTCACCCACCTGCCCAGCCCCTGCCCACATGCCCAAACCCCACCTAGCTGTCCATACCCCTCTCACATGCCCAATCTCTGCCCACGTCACATCCCCAAAACTCACCCAAACGCCCAAAGCCTGCCCACCTGCTCAAACTCTGGCTACCTGTCCAAACCCCACCTACATTCCCAAACTCTGCCCATGACACATGCTCAGCAAACCCGAATCCCACCCACAAACCCAAACCCTGCCCATATTACATCCCCAAATCCCACCCACATGACCAAATCCCTCAAGCCCAAATATAGCCCACATTACATCCCCACACCTCACCATATGCCCAAATCCCACCCACAAGCCCAAACACAGCACCAATGCATCCCCAAACCCCACCCACATGCCCAAATCCCACCCACAAGGCCAAACATAGCCCACATTACATCCCCAAACCCCACCCACATATCCAAATCCCACCCACAAGCCCAAACCTAGCCCACATTACATCCCCAAATCCCACCCACAAGCCGAAACATAGCCCACATTACATCCCCAAATCCCACCCACAAGCCCAAACATAGCCTACATTACATCCCCCCAAATCCCACCCATATGCCCAAATCCCACCTATATGCCCGTAAAGATTCTAAGCCTGCCCAGTCCACACAGCCCATTTATGAAAACTAAACTGGAAAAACAGCCTTTATTGATTTGTAATGTCGCACAAAATGTATTGCAAAATGCATTTACATGTAATCTTACTATTCAGCTCACAGCTATTTAGCCCCGCCCAAGTAATGAGTGTCTCAGCCCGACTGCTTTTTGACTGAAAAGCAAAATACAAGAAAAATAAAAGCTTTGGGCTCTTTGATGGTCATGAGGAGCAGACGGGTTGTTTCAGGTTAGTTGCAGTAAATCTCGTAGTAAAGGTTCAGGCAGAATCTCACAGTCAGTTCAGCGTAAAGTGTAAAAGCACAAACACACACTGCAAGTGCAGACTCGCTGTGCGAGCACTCATCACTCCTCCTCCACCCTCGGCCTCCCCCCCGGAGCAAACGCTCAGACAGGTTCAGCTCCGCCACACAGCTCCATAGTCCTCCTCCCCGCTGTCAGACTTCAGGAAGAGGGGCTTGTTTTCCAAGAGGTGGAGGTGCAGATGATTTGGAGAGGACTGCCACCTTGCACAATGGGAGAAAAAGCACAGTTTGTAAGTCACAATATTCAGATTATAGATATTTTACAGCTTTAGAAGAAATGATTTAGGATTTATTCTGTATGTTCTCCTGTTTAGTACCAGGAATGATCAGGTTTCACTACTGATTATGAAGCTACTGCAGCAACACAGACAGATAACACTCACTGAGACTGATCTGATATGATCTCCTGGGTAATGTCCTAATCCATATAATGTATTAATTATAATATATATAATATTTATTATAGATATAGCACATAACAAGAAATCTGTAGTTCAAGAGGTTTTCTTTTTAAAGTACTATACATTAACATATACAGAAACTAGTATTTCGCTGTTGTTGGTACAAAATCTTGTATTTCTAAAATGGTAACTTTACAGGAGAAGGAAAAACATACTCTACTTTTAATGCAAGTCAATGGAACCAGACCTTATTCCAAGTCATTTTAGGCTGTTTCTTTTCATTCATTCATCATGAAATTTCACATACAATGTAAAAGGAAACAGATATTTTCAAATTATGCCAAAAACTGAAAAACGACAAAAATGGAGATACGAGGTTTTCTTCCGAGAACAGTGACGTTTACTATATAAATAATGTACTAATCCACTATTTAAAGGAGGTACTACACTGTGCGTTACTATTTAAAGATGCTACTGTATGTTGTTATTTATATTAGAAACCATATATTACTGTTTATAGAAACCACAGTGTTACAAATTTAATTAGCTACTATATATTAATATTTAAATTAGCTACTTTACATTTATCTACTGTATTTTACAATTTAAAGAAACTACAGTGTTTTGCTTTTTAAATTAGGTACTATATGTAACTATTTACGTTGCCTACTATCAGTCACTATTCACAGAATGTGCATATTTAAATTAGCTCCTAAATGTTACTATTGAACGAAACTACTATATGTTACTATTCAAATGATCTACTCTTTGTTACTTACTGTTTAAATTATTATAGTGTAAGTTGCTATTTAAATTATGTACTATTTGTTACTATGTGTAGGTGCTATTACTATTGAAAGAAACTACTATATGTCAGTGTTTATATTAGCTATTGTAAGTTACTATTTAAATAAGATACTGTAAGTTACTATTTAAATTAGCCACTATATTTTACTATTTAAATTAGCTACTATATGTTACTATTTAAATTAGATACTGTATGTTACTATTTAAATTAGATACTGTATGTTACTATTTAAATTAGATACTGTATGTTACTATTTAAATTAGCCACTATATTTTACTGTTTAAATTAGCTACTATATGTTACTATTTAAATTAGCCACTATATGTTATTATTTAAATTAGCTACTATATGTTACTATTTAAATTAGCTACTATATGTTACTATTTGAATTAGCTACTATATGTTACTATTTAAATTAGCTACTATATCTTATCATTTAAATTAGATACTGTAAGTTACTATTTAAATTAGCCACTATATTTTATTATTTAAATTAGCTACTATATGTTACTATTTAAATTAGATACTGTAAGTTACTATTTAAATTAGCTACTATATTTTATTATTTAAATTAGCTACTATATGTTACTATTTAAATTAGATACTGTAAGTTACTATTTAAATTACATGCTTTTCTCTTTTAATTAGCTTCTTACTGTTGCTATTACTTTTAAATTGGCTGCTATACGCTGTTTTGTAAAGAATGTACTGGCTAACAGAGATCAGCCAAACCCCTCACAGGTTTTGTGCTGTTGTGCTATTAGTCCAGCCGAACTGTAAACCGTGGTCTCCAGAAAAGGCCCTGCCTGTTCAGGTCTGTCTGACTGGAGTTCTCAGATTGTGAACTGACAATAAAGACGGCAGATTCTTCTGTTCATATTTGTAGTGATGGAGGAGGAAGTGGGGGTGAAACATGTTGAACCAAAATACTGGCCAAAACAAAACCAGAGGGAGGTAACTTTAGTGCCGGAACTGTGCAGACCGGACAGTAGGTTTTGCTTCAGTGGCATCACCTTCCAGAAATGCTGTTACGGCCGGAATTTGGACAGAAACAACTCCAACACATCGTTTACAGGTTCTGCAGGGTTGTTTCCAGAGGAGAACCTCAACATTATCCTCAACAAGAAGTTCACTGTATTTGAGGAACCATCAAAATAACACTTGCTGAGTCGACCATCTGGACCGAAAAAAAGAAATGAAAGTTGAAAAGGTTGGCAGCCGGAGCCGTTTCTGAGTCCAGTTCCAGTCATATGCAAAAGTTTTGTCGATTTTCTAAGTGGATATAAATCAATACATCCACTACAGAGAACACACCGCTACACATCTTAATGCACAGTTCCTGTCCATTACCTGAATTTATTATATTGGAGAGAAATGAAACATAAAATATGTCCTGTGCAAAAGTTATGGCACACTTTATTCACATACACACACACACACACACACACACACACACACACACATCTATCTACTATATCATCATATATCCACATATATATATATATATATATGTCTTTCCATGCACTCAATAGTCTTGTGTGGTTGGTGTAGTGTAGTGGGTGACACCTCTTCCCTCTACGACTGGGGTTCAATCCCTGCCTGGGTAACCACTCTGCACTATACCAATAAGAGTCCTTGGGCAAGACTCCTAACACTACCTTCACCCACCTGTGTAAAATGATCAAACTGTGAGTCACTCTGGATAAGAATGTCTGCCAAATGCTGCAAATGTAAATAATCTGATAACGGTCAGTAACCGGTTCAGTGTGTTTACACTTAATAATCTGATAACTGCAGAAAATCAGATTGCATCAGTAACTGGTTCAGTGTTTACGCTTAATAATCTGATAGCTTCAGAATATCAGATTGTGTTAGTAACTGGTTCAGTGTGTTTTCATGCTCTTGGGTAATCAGATAATGTAGAAACTGAGAGAAAAGAAAATGAGTGGGACAGTAATCAGATTTCTGCTTTACAACCATCCAGTAAACTCACAGAATAAGACGTGACGTAAATGTAAAACTCAAACTTCAGGAGCGGATTTTTAAAACAAGTCACTTTAGCTAAAAATATAAACATGCATTATCTAGAAGATGAAGAATGTTTAAATCCTTCATTTGGTCTAGCATGTAGCCGGTTTCATCGTCGCTCCAAAAGTGCTGTACTGGGTCTCGCAGGTTCTGTGTTAGATGCTGCTCGCTGTTTCCGGGACAGCGCTCTGTTTTCACACGTGCTCAGACTGAGAGAAACGAAAGAAATCAGAGTGAGAGTTCACATGCACTGAGAAACCTCATTACTGAGCTCAAATCCAGCCTCTTTATCAGATTTCCCAATCAGATTTATAGACCTAAATCTGTTCTAAGAAGTCAGAGTGTGCTGTTTACACAACTGCAATAATCAGATAACTGCAGAAATCTGATAATGATCGGATTATTAAGTGCATGTAAACGCACTCACTGACTGTAACTTAATCATATCTCGTGCTCCCTGATCTGAACGTTTATTAAACTTTTATATTACTTTTCTATTAATCACTTCTTTAACTTGTGTTAATTAATTGTGCAAAAAATTTATGTGATCGGACCCCCAAGCAGGACGTCACTTAGAGCCCCCGCAGGTTCAGTAGCGTCCCTGTCAGCAGCAGTCCACCAAATTCAGGGGAATGTAAATGAAGCAAGAGATTTCTCCCAGATGGTACGAAGCTCTAATGGATGCTTTCTGGACGCTCGTCCACTCCTGAGGTAGAGATTTATGATGGAGGTGGAAATTTGCTGCTCACGCCCAGAACGAGGCACTTCCTGTTTCTTTGTGTTAATCAGGATCTCTGGCGTGGAGAGCAAGAGGGCTATTTTAAGGTCTTACAGCACCAGCCCACACTGACGTCCACGTCTGTGGACTTTTTCCATTCATAGCAATAAAGGACGAGCGTGATTTACCGTTCTAACATATAGTAAGAGAACCTGTGAAGACAAAAACACCACACGTTCTCATTTTTCCGCACATTTCATCTTCATCCAACACCCATCAGCTTTGTACCCTCTAAGGTGCCACAGTTGATGCCATGGAAGAACCACTGCTGGTTCCCTGAAGAACCACTTTTGGAAAAAAGATTTGTTAAGAACCTTTCAAGGAATCTTTACATAACGTAAAGGTCCTATACCAATTTCATGGCTCTTCCTAGAACCTTTACATTATGTGGAACTCCAGAAAGAACCATCCAGGAGCCAAAAGCAGTCCCTTTATTAACTGCTTTGGGTTTTTTCTAAAATCTTTACCAGAACCAAAAGTGGTTCTTTTATGGAACTGCGCAAAGAACCACTTTGAGTTTGTCTTAGAACCTTAACATTGTGTGGAGGTTCTTTACATTTTAAAAAGGGTCTTCACACTCACATCTCGTTTAAAGGTTCTTCATACTCGCAAGTCTAATTTACAAAAATGGTTCTCCAAAGAACCATCCATTGTTAGGGAGCCAAAAGCAGACCTTTTATGATCTGCTCTGGGTTCTTTCTAGAACTTTTATGAGAACCAAATGTGCTTATTTTATGGCATTGTGCAAAGAACCACCTTGGGTTACTCCTAGATCCTTTATAGCATGTGGGGGTTCTTTACATTTCAAAAAGGTGCTTCACGCTCACATCTCATTTATAAAAATGGTTCTCCAAAGAACCAACCATTAAAGGTTTTTGTTAGGGAAGTAGTTCTTGTATGTAAACAACCTTTACATTATGGGGAGGTTCTTTAAACTTTAAAAGAAGTTCTTCACGCTCACATCTCATTTACAGAAATTGGTTCTCTGAAGAACCATCCGTTGCTAGCAAGCCGAAAGCAGTCCTTTTATGGACTGCTTTGGGTTTTTCTAGAACCTTTACATTATGGTTATGTTCTTCACCCTCACACATCTCATTTACAGACAATGACTCCAAAGAATCATCCATTTAAAGGTTTTTAAAGAACCAAACGTGGTTCTTTTATCTCACTGGGCAAAAATCCCTTTTTGGCACCTTTATTTTAGGACGTCGTGCG